CACAGACTTCAAATCTTATCAAAGCATACAGCTTGAGCACACCAAATCGCAGCCGATTCCACCCACGCTTCAATGAACCGTAGCGATCGATGCCGTCCATTGGATTTGTCAGCGCCTGCCTTCTCGGGCTCGATCAAACCTTGAAGCTGCGGGTGTCTCAACCGCCGGCCCTTCTCTTCTCAGCACGTAAAGCCGGTATTAGCCGCTAAGTGCCTGATGAACTTAGGGGGCTCATTGTGATCATCTTCAATCTTCTCCCCTGGGCGTCTTTCACAAACAAACCCAACATAGTCCAACTCATCAAAGGTGTTCCACCCTTTTCAACCTGGCTGACAAATAGTTTCAATCAACACCCTTTAACAGTCACAATCCTAGCAGACCTTGACATGGGGAACAAATCACAGCCCATTGTGCAGGTTGCTCAAGCTGAAGCGCTAACACAAAATCCCACCACCAAACCTGTCTACCTGCAATGCCAGGCAGCTCTGGAATGGCTCTCCCATCTGCCCTTTAGTCTCCTGGGCAAGACAAAAATGCAACCCATGTGTCGTGTGTTTGACACTGTCCGACAGGAACGAGAGGGTTTGTTCTACTGAAGAGATTCTGAAGAGAACAGCACTCACAGTCTAGCGCACATCTCACCCAAACAAACTTTGCCCCGTCTCGAAACGCTTCACAATACACTAATGTTTACCTCTGATTAATAAAGTACCCCAGAATAATTACTTTTCCTGCACAGATTAATAAAGGCCCCCAGAATAGTGTCCTTTTTTTTTGGATGGATAGTTTTTTTTCATTGTTAGATATTGTTATTTTTCCTCTCTGGCTTATTGATATTGAAGATCTTTGGATGCAAATTTCTATTGAGATTTGATGCTTTTGGAGCCTTTTGGATGGAGATTTCTATTAAAAATTTGAAGATTTCCCTTTCTTTTCCTTTTGACTTGCTTTACTTACCTAAGCTCTTTAGTCTTTAAGCTTTCCAAAAGTTTCCAAAAGTCAGTGCACACTTTCTTTACAAAATCCCGTATTCAAACGTATTGAAAAAAACAAAAAAATCATTCAAGCAAAGGGGGTAGTCCAGCAAGCAGCTTTCTGACATTATTTAGGGGGGGCCCTAGAATAATGTCTAGAGAATTCAGGCTTAAAAAAATATGTTGCTTTAAGTAAACTTGTATTCATTCCCTTTCTTTTCCTTTTGATGTGCTTTACTTACCTAAGCTCTTTAGTCTTTAAGCTTTCAAAAAAAATCCATTGAAATTTGATGATTTTGAAGGTCTTTGAATGCAAATGTCTATTAGTCTATTCTAGTCTTTTGAGATTTCCATTGAGATTTGATGATTTTGACGGTCTTTGAATGCAGATTTCTATGTAAGTGTTTGAGATTTCCATTGGGATTTGATGATTTTGAAGGTCCTTAAAGGCAGATGTCTATTAACTTTTTGAGATGTCCATGACCATGAGATACCATGACTGTTGGCAAGTTTCACTTCAGGTGTGCAACCTGATGTGAGAACCTGGCAACATCTCCCACATTGGCTTGTGAAGCTGCGTGATCACATCAAGACCCGACTCTCCTTGTACTCCGGATCCGGAGGCTCTGGAATCAAGGAGCGCTTCACCTTGGCTGGCCTGCGGTTGTGGGCTTGCGCCCTTCGCCGCGGCGCTTCGGTCCCGAGTGGTCGAGTGGTTTTCATGGCTTTCCGACCCCAAAACAACTAGCGTCCTTGCTCCTAGTAGTAAGGCCAGGATCCCCTAGTAGCTTCTTGCTCCTAGTAGCGTCTTGATATGAACAATTCGCAGTTGCGTTGCGACCTATCTTGTGGTTGATGATGGTTGATGGGCCCATGATGGTTTCTGAGATCTTAGGTCTTAGATGAGACAAACCTCAACTGAGATCAGTGTCATCACTCCTTTCTTCCTTCGCTTCTCTGACTTCTCTGCTTCTTGCGTTTTAAAACTTTGGGTTTCGCAAACCCCCAACAAAAAAGGGCTTCTTGCTTCAAGCGCCTCGCGCTGTTGCGTTCCAAGGGCACACCCAAGCCAGTCGCAATCCTGGGCGGCCGTGGGGAACCCGGAACCCCGCTGTCCACCGAGCCGGGGCGACCGATGCAGTGCGATCCACGTTCCACCCGCCTCTCATCCAAGTGGCCGTTGCAAGTGGCTGTTCAATTGATCCTTAGCGTTCGGAGAGGGCTAAGAATAAGCCCTTCCAGCCTGCAGTCTGTCCCAAATTCATGGCCTCCCAAAGCATCCATGAATCATGCATCCATATATGTGTTCATGATTGTTCATGGCAATTTCTGCATGGGTTTGCAAACACCAGATTTCAGGATTCTCTTATTTCCACTCCGGCCCCTTTTTGGGGGCCTGTGGCAGCCTGAGATGCACTCTTTCTACTATCATCTACTATCTACCATCTCTCCCAAAAGTGCTTCATGTCATCGCGTTGCAAGGCGCGAATCGGATCTGGGTCATCTCTTTCATCCTGAGTACACACATCAGGTAAATAAACGAGCTGCCATTGCATATCACCACCGAACAAAGCAACACAAATCAAACGCCTCACATGCCTTACCATGCTGGCTCGTCAATATGACAAAGCTCTATGTGTGCAGGTGACAACTTATTGGCTTGCACACCGCCACGTGTCCCCTTTCACTTTTTGCGCGAGGCATTGACACTGCACCCGTACATGATCCATAGATGAATGTCTCACCAGACCGACTGGCAAGTCTTCAAACAAAACACAAACCTCCTGACATCATCTCTTGACTTGGACATGCACCTCATAGAGAAAAGAAAGAAATCAAGCGAGGTCCGCATCTAGTGCTGTTCCGGCACTGCTCTTGCTCATGCAGCGACCGCATCAGGTTGTACTTGATGAATCGAGGAGCTGTCCTTGGAGTTGCCGCACGTTGCCACATGGCCCAAAGACCTGCCCCCCAAATCCTTCAGACCCTGGGCACTTGCGGCACTTGTCTGCCTGTGCTGGGCATAAGGACAAAGAGATGTTTCCGTTTTTTCATCCGTCAGCACCCTGCATTTGAGCGTCGTTGTCTCGGCTTCGTTCCGCAACGACGCCCACGACGACAACACCTTTTTCCTCACCGAGGTGCTTGGATTCGTGAACCCATCGGCTTAAGGGCTGGATGAACTCGTTCCGCTCCACGGTGCCCGAACCTGGGAAGTTCCGACAGCGACGGTTTGGGTTTGGATCGTCTTTCTGGAAAGGTCCAGCTTGGATCTGGCAAGTATCCCAAGACTGGCCTAAATTCAGCTGAATTCCTGAATGTTGAAACTGTTCTTTGGGTCTTAAGGTCTTGAGTGGTAGACTGTGGTAGGGCCTGCCTGAGTGGAGGAGATCGAGTCTCTGTTTCATGCGCATCATCCTCTCCAAAGGTGGCTTTATGTATCTTCCATGCAAGTGTTCCCTAAGAACCTCTGACCCAGGGCACCTCATGGAAGACCACACCCCAGTTCCAAAGCACCCAAATGCCACCTTCCAAACCATGGAGTTGTCCGTTTAACCGTCTGGAAGATGTATTAAGCATCAACTGCAACAAACATGGAAGTGGACAACCCTCTGAGACCCTCTGCTTGTAGAAGCAAATGCTTTGTCCAGGTATCAGGGAGGACGGGAAGGACGGGAGGACGGGACGTCGAATACGCCTCGATGGTCCTCTCCGATGCCCAGGGGCCGTCCGTGTCGATCATCTGAAACAACTGCTGGAGATCGGCCTGGGCCGGCTTCTTTGGGTCTCACAGCTTCCCAGACCTATATAGTAGCTTCCTTGTTCCTAGTAGTACGGCCAGGAGCCCCTAGTAGCTTCCTTGTTCCTAGTAGCGAGGCCAGGAGCCCCTAGTAGCGTCCTTGCTCCGCTGGAGATCGGCCTGGGAGATCGAAGAGGAACCCGGCTTCTTTGGGGTCTCACAGCGTCCGGCTTGTAAAAGCCACACCAGTCTCGACCAGTGCACGAATCTACGAACGAATCATCCCATTGATTGAGTGGAACACCTCTGTGGCCAACGGGAAGCACAACAAGTCCAGATGGATACACCAATGATACACAATAGGAGCAAGACGCTACTAGGGGCTCCTGGAGCAAGGACGCTACGAACGGGGCTCCTGGTCGTACTACTAGAAGCGTTCTTGCTAACTAGTAACAAGAAGTTACTAGGAACAAGTGCATCGCTTCTAGTAACAAGTGCCTTACTAGTAGTAACAAGGACGCTACTAGTAACAAGAACCTACGACATCCTACGACACCATCAGCCCAGCTCTCTTGTCCGGGCCTCATCGATGTCCATCACTCGCAGGCGGCTTTGGAACTCGGGATCCTGGCCGCACCCAAAATCGGTGCAGAAAGACCCCTTCGGCTGGTGAAGCTTGGTGGCTGAATTCGCCCCAACCTCCGAAGGATTTAGCATGCTTTAGCTACTTTAGCTGGCCCATTCTGTCCACATCGAATGCACCACGCCAGGACCTCTATCCAGTCTACATGCCATGCTCAAGGGGTACTCAGGCGTTCCTTCCGCGCGCCATCAATCAGCTCGTACAAGGTCAGCTCGCCGCCTGAAGACGTTCAGCGGGCCAACACAGATCCGTCCACTGCGAGGGTCGCCGGACATCGTTTAGAAACAACGTTCGCTACTAGGAACAAGTGCATCGCTAGTAGTAACAAGTGCCTTACTAGTAGTAACAAGAAGAAATTAGAAACAAGAAGCTACTAGGAACTCTTGTCCGGGGTTATGACCGTGGTGACATCCGAGCGCCAGCGCCCCGCGAGCGTCATACGTGCGACGACTGATGTCCCGCTCATCCGTCGAAGGAGCCTCAAGGCTGGGACATCCCCTAGGCCCTATCCTGGTTCTTCGGGTGCATCCTATTTTCCCAAGACCATGGAGCTATGGGAGGGTGCTCGAACATGTCCTCGAAACTTATGTGAAAGGCCACTTCCCAGGCTGGCCACAACCACTCTCCACCCAAGTCCTCTGGGCTATCTCAAGTTGACCAAGCAACTTCCATCCTCATCTACACGGTCGAAGATTTTCCTGGGAAAGCAGGAGGAAGCAACTGCTCTCTTAATAGTCCTTTGCTTCAGTTGTTATTATTGAAATTTGCTGCTCAGGAACATGTTTTGCAGCCTCTGTGGTTTCGATCAAACCCTGAGTTGAGAAGGGTCAGGAAACACCTATACTATACATTACTATACAATGCCTATACCTCTGCAAGACTTCCGAATAAGATTTTGTTTCCTCGTTGCGGGCCACCTCCTGGTTGGTCGTAGCGGTGAACGAAATTCACAATTCGCCAAGCTACTGGAGGAATTTTTTGTCCATCTCGATATCGGTTTCCATCTCCTTCGATAAGCGACTGTATCGAAATGCTCATTCAAACAAGGGCGGGCTGGTCTGGTGAAACCAGAGCGCGGTGTGATCAGAAAATGGTGTCTTTGCATATGTTGAGCATGTCGCCCCCGCAGAACAAACCTTTTGTCAGCCCTCCTCAGCCAGGTTCAGGACATCGCGTTCTCTAGCCTCGGCAAAAGTGTCTACGACCACAGCCACAATGAGGTTCAGCACCTCAGTTCATTTCCCGCGCTGAGTTGGCGCCGGTTGGGGTTGGAACAGACATTGGAACGGTACCACAGGTGTATGCGTGACCTGCGTGACCTGCTCCAAGTGCGATCCCGCCAGCCTTCTCAACACACCCGAGTGGAAACAAGCTCCGGCCGAAATGAACTCATGGGGCTTTGGGGGTGATGAGTGCTCGCCCAACGTGGAGCTTTGCGGCCGGAGCCGTTTACAAGGGTAGGCAAGAAACAGTTAGGAATTCAAGTGGGGAGCCAATAGAAAACTACTAGCTACGATATATTGGCCTATATTGGTTTCTATTTCCATCCGGCTCCCACGAGTGGAATGGCCACACAAGGGAATGGCTCCTACCTCCTCTTAAAATTACCCTCGGCTCGCTCACAAAAAAGTCTGTTATGTTGGAGTTGCACTTTCCTCCTGGAAAATTTACCCGCGGGCGGCTCACACAAGGTCTGCTATGTTGGAATGTCACTTGCCTCCTCTAAATTTACCCTCGGGTGGTTGACAAAAAGTCTGCTATGTTGGAAGTGCACTATGTTGGAAATGCACTGTCCTCCTCTAAATTTATCTCGGGTGGCTCACAAAATGTCTGCTATGTTGGAATGGCACTTTCCTCCTCTATATTTACCCTTGGGTGGCTCACAAAAGGTCTGCTACCTTGGAGTGGCTTCTTTCTCTTTTACCCTTGGGTGGCTCACAAAACGGCTGTTACGTTGGAATGGCTTCTACCTCCTCTAAAGTTTACCTAAATTTTGGCAATAATGCGTCTTGTAAGCACCACGTGTAAGCAGTGCTCTACTTCAGTGTCTTGTCCCACCAACACATCAACACCACAAAACTATCATGACATACACATTCGCAGAGCCCATTTATGTACGAAATATGAGTGTGGGCAAGTTGCGCAGCAGTGCACGACACAGTAGACTGAACAGCAACAAGTAGCACAGTAGACCAAACAGCAACAGAAGCAACAAAACCAGAAAAAACAGCAAGAGCAGCAAAGCAACCAAAGCGACAAAAATAAACAAGCCGGGGTAAAAACAAAAAACTAGGCAAACACCAAAAGCACAAAAGCAGTAAAACCAAAAGCAAGTCTCCAAAAACTTGGTGAAAACACATCTTTAAAAAATAACGCCCGCAAAAAAAAGAACATTATAGCAGGCTATAATTCAGAAAGAACTCCGAAACTAGCAAAACAACATCCTGAAAGAGAAATTAGACCTTTTTACCTCGAGGAGCGTCATCAGAATTCAAAGCTCTTCGGCCGAAAGGCCGAAAGGCGCCAAAGACCAAGGTTAGCAAGGACGCTACTAGGGGCGCTCCTGGCCTTATTACTATATAGGAGCAAGAAGCTACTAGTAGCTCACTCCGCGTCAGCCAAGCTGCTCCGAAGACCAAGGTGAGCAAGGATCCCACGAAGATCACGGCAGTGCCGGGATAGGCCTCCCGACGTTGCCGAAAGACGGACGGTCGCATGGACTGGGGGTCAGGGGGGGTGCAGTGACTGGAAGGTCCTGTAGGAGCCTTAGGGTCATCAAGATGTCATCAAGGGTGGTAACCTTAATTTCTGGCTTTACCCAGCTACAGTTGATTCCAGGACTTGCGCACGTGCGCAAAGCTCCGAGGGAATGAAAAACGAACCCGGAAGCTGCTGAAGGTCCTTCTTGGCACACGTTGGTGCAGTTTTGGAGGGATTAAGGGGGTGCGGTGCAGCAGAATCGACCGAATCCTACCAATCAACCCACCTGACTGGAAAGCATGTCACGATTTGCAAGGATCTGATGCTTGTGATTGCTTTTGTATCTTTAAAATTGTGTATGCTAACCAGCTTCGATCCCTCATGATGTGACGGCACTTCAACTGCAAGCAAAGTCTACGAACAAAGCGATGTTTGAAAAGAATTGAATAGGCGCTCGCCTCAATGACGGGTATAGCAATCTTGCCCCAGCCGTCTCCCGCGATGACTGTCCTGAGAGGACTCCAGGAGTGCACTTCTGCCCTCTTGTGCGCTAGTGGTGGGCATGTTGGCCACCACAGATTCTGAACATCAACCAAAAAACATCCTCAACAAACAACTCCCCTTGGAAAGAAACATCGGCTTCGCCTGCTTCGCACCAACCTACGTGAGGGATTGCATGGCGAAGACGGCGTCGCCCGGTCGCCGGCCCGAACAAAGAAACGGGTGCCTCAACGTTCGACGACGTCGATGTGTATCGACTCACCCCATGGCACCCTTCAAAACAAAGAGAAAGCGGCAGACTGGCCCCAGTCGGCCGCCGACTAGAAACAAGTCGAAACACGTGAGTCGAGTCGAGTCGAGCAGCTGCCGTTTTGCTCCAAGGCGCTTGAAGAGAAGCAGGTTCGCGTCCATCACCTGAGAGGCTTCGGCCGTTTGCGTCGCCGTGTCGTCGCGAAATCGCCGCACGTGGAAGGATCGTCGGCTCCCAGGCGCCCGGGCGGAAGATGCCGCCCGGAGGCACTGCTCCTTGGGATCGGACTCTGGGACGCGCCCAGGGAGGGCGGAACAACTAGCGGCTAGCGATGGGATGAGGGTCAACCGGTCCATCCAAACACAGCAACTGACTATAGCTGCTCCAGTACTTTGTCAGACTTCGGATCACAGATTCCCCCCGCGGCTGAGAGTCGCAATCTGCAAAGGTGCCCCGATCTTCGTGAAGCTTCAAGATCAACCTGGGCTGCTTGATGTAGCTTGGCATCAGAGCACTGAAGTGTTTAAAAAGAAGCTATACTTACTAGGGGCTCCTGGCCTTACTACTAGGAGCAAGAAGCTACTAGGAACAAGTGCCACGCTAGTAGTAACAGGTGCCTTACTAGTAGTAACAAGAAGCTACTAGGGGCTCCTGGCCTTACTACTAGCAAGAACGCGACGAGTCCGGAGCATTTCGGGCATCGCTACGAGTCCGGAGCCACATGACACCCGAGACTCGCTCCCCCACCGAGCAGCGGCTGGACCACGTCCACGAGCAGCATGGCCCAAATGGTCCTCGTCCACGAGCGATTTCGAAGGTCCACTTTCCCTTGGTATTTGTTGAAGCCCTGCCCTTACAACCATGTAATCTTCATTATGTATACCGTATACGCCTACTTCTTTTCATTTTCATCTGAATTCTGGACGCAGGATAGCTCACGCTTCTTCAAGGAAGCTCCCCCCCGCAGCTTCCTTGAAGAAGCCCTCGCACTAATGATTTGGTGCCTAGACTTTTTTTGGGGAAACTTACGTAGTAAGCAAAAGGCAAAGCTGGGAATGTGAGCTTCTGAGATGGCCAAGCTCCCAGTTGGACTAGAGATACTAACATGCTTGGAGAAGGCTTGGCCAACATGTCAGGATTTAAAATGGCCCTGGCCGACCTGTTAATCCTGCCCCATCACTGAAGCTGAGTGTCATCACCATGAAGCAGAAAATGAAGGACCAGCACAAAGTTCCTGGGAGCCAAGAGAAAAGACACGACCAGTCAGTGGGGTGTCAACCGGCGTCGGGCCGCTAGACGTTGAGCTGATCCAAAACAAGCTTATCATCCTGTCTCAACCCAACTCCCACATTGGAAAAGAGAAGGCCTTCAGGGGGGAGCAAGTGAACATCAACGATTCCTGGAAGAAATGCTTTGATCGTGGGCCGTTCTTCCACAAGGGCTCTCTCAACTGGCCATGGCTGCCATCACCTCTGAGTGGCTCACCGTACGCAGAAATTCACTTCTCTTGCTCCCTTTTTGACCAAAAGTGTGTCGAAGTGCCCCAACTCCACGTGCGTCGCAGCGTCTCATGCAGGTAGTGGCCATCGTGAGGAGCTTCCGCAGCCTAAAACAACATTCCAACGAGCCGTTCGACGGCGTCCATTCGCTGGGGCGCCTCTCTAACGGTCGCGCGGAAGAATAAAGGGCAAGGCTTGGCGGAAGGTTTGGCAACCAGAATTGGTTTTAGAGTGAAGTTTCTGATAAGTACGTCCTTCCCCCTGGCCACCGCAATGAAACGTCCACGATCTTTGATGAACAAAGGTGGTTCAGGATATAATTCTAGCAGGACTCTCACAATGATGAGAAAGAGCATGAAGACCCAAATCAAACGATTGTTGGAATGCCACTGCATCACATCTCCAACTAAAGACGGAGAATCTCCGTCCGGCAGAACGCAGGTGATGCGTTTCTATGCCCGATGTGGCACGGGAGCGGATGCGGCTCAGCCCTTTTTGGCGGCTCCAATGCTATCAGCCACCGATCCTCGGCCGTCGGTTCGAATTGGGAGACTGCCTCACACAGCTGTGACCCGAAGGAATCCGCTGTGATAAGAGGAATTCAATTGGCCAATTGGAAACAAATCGGGTCCGCCTCATGTTGAATGTCCGGTGTAGCTTCCGGAGTCCTTCTCAGCCTGCTCTTGAACCGTATTTCAATTGAAAATCCTAGCCTGTAATTAACTGTATCTAATGTCAACCTATGATTTATCAACCTACCCTTAATAAAGCTAAGCAAAACCCAAAACACAATTATATACACCCTAGATAAAGTTAAACGTTTTTACCACTAGACCTAGATATCCCCAATCCGAATCCTAGTTTCTAAGTTTAATTCCTTTTCTAGATTCCTTGTTTCTAGATCTAATTCCTCCATTCCTTCTTGTTTCTAGATTCGTTACTAATCTACTTTCAATCCATGTAGTTCCCAAAAGCAAGGCCAATACTACCAACACTAAAACAGTAGCTAAGTCTATATATGAGGTCATGTGAGAGGGGGGGCCTTGATAAATCAGGTGTGTGACATGACATGACCCCTAAATGTTTGTGTCAATAATTCTTGACTAGCGCATCCTTCAGTCCCAAGGCTCTTTTGATAAAATCTACATGAAAGGCCAGCTCTTTCCGGTCAGCGCCGCCTGTGTTACGATGCCGCTGAAGGCGAACATCGCCAGGCGGCCGTTCTCCTTAGTCGGAAGCTCTCGCAAGTGATAAGTGGCCCCTCCACATCCACCCGATGTCAGTATGTCGAAACAACGTTCGCTACTAGTAACAAGTGCCTTACTAGTAGTAACAAAAAGCTATTAGAATGAATTTTAAAGCAGTAGCAAACATAGTTATTACTAGTAAGGCACTTGTTACTAGAAGCGATGCACTTGTTACTAGTAGCGAACCTTGTTTCGACGGTATGCCAATAAGATCCCACAGGGTGAAACCGGACGCGTTGTGCCACGGAAAATGCCAGGTCTCGAGTTCCTTGAGGCGCATGTCCTTCTCCTTGGCAGGCTCCTTTGGGAGGAAATTCTTGCCTCATGGCCGGAGTGAAACTGATTGTAAGGGAAGAAGAATTGACACAACCCACTCGGTTCAAGTCTAGGTGATTGCACGCCGTATGCCACAAGAAACACCACAGCTTTGATCATTTGGAGATCCATTTGCGCATCATCTCGAATCATTTGAATGACTCCGTGGTCATTTGTGAAGATGCATGCCATTCCGTGCCGCAGCTGCTGGGCAATCCAAACAACTGCATAATTCGGATCACTTAATTACGTATTCTATGTGTGCACAAATAGGCTAGACCATATGCATGCACAAACAAATATGCGTATACATACACCGCACACCCGTTATTTAAATGTATCTTTCCTGCAGCGCATGGCTTCATTGCCTTTCTCATCGGCCCAGGTGCCCACGAAGAAGTCTCCGGCATCCCGCTTCACTTCATTCAACCAGCCCTGGTACAAGAGCCATCCGGAGTAAAGCTCCACGGTGCCAATGGCACCCAGGAAGGGGAGCATGTAGCCTGCCTGGCGCGAAAATTTCGACCAAGTGACGATCCGAAGGGAAAATGATGGTACTTAGCCCTCACTTGCTACTAGTAGCTATGGCCTCCACTAGTAGCGATGGGCCACCACCCTAGTAGTGATGGACTCCACCCTAGTAGCTATGGCCTCCACCTAGTAGCCATGGCCTCCACCTCGTAGCGATGGTCTCCACCCTGGTAGATGGCCTCCACCTAGTAGCGATGGCCTCCACCCTAGTAGTGATGGCCTCCACCCCAGTAGCTATGGCTATGGCCTGCGATGGCCTCCACCCTAGTAGCGATGACCTCCACCCTCGTAGCGATGGCCTCCAACCTAGAAGCAATGGCCTCCAACCTAGTAGCGATGGCCTCCAACCTAGAAGCAATGGCCTTCAACCTAGTAGTTTCTTGTTATGAGAGTGTGAAACGAACTCTTGGCAAAGGTAGATGTTCCTCTTTGAAGGGGAGTCGCTGATACAATCGGACAAAGAAGCCTTGGCACTCCCTATGGCCCTGGAGAAACAACCCTCCAACGACAGCTGGCTCAAATAATGACAAGCACAAGTCAGCCTCTCATGCAGCCCCTCCTCTCACACTCCACCTTCCTCCAAACCCATAGTGTGTCCTTTGACACTTTGGTGACGGACATTTCTTTCCAAAGCCTTTTGCCTTTTAGTAAGAGTATCCTATGGGACCTTTGGGTATGTGAGGATATGAGAGGGGTTTAGGAAAGGATCCCTGGCCACTTCAAGCACGCATGCCACTGCTCCTTCACACGAAAACGCGGTGAGACATCCCCAAGGCCTCCACCATCTGGTCATGGGCCTGAAAGCTGTTGGCCACCGCCTGGAACTTGTCGCCCGGGAAGCGGAAACCCATGTCCACGGCGATCCAACCCACCTTGGTCCAAGCGACTGGTCAACGCTCGGACCCATCCAAAAAAGGTCCAAAATCGAGTCTCCGCCAGTGGTTCCTCAGAATCGACACAGCCTCGAAAACCCCAAGGCGATCACACGCGTGGTGGTTGGGAAGTCTGATCCAAACCTCTTTTTCCCAAAACCTCTCCCAACACCTTCAAAACTTCTAACACTTCAAGACTTTCCTGCAAACAACCGGTGGCAGGTGTCTCATAGCGCACGGTTGCACTGTAAAAACTGCACTCCGCTGCCACGGCATGCGAAAGCCCACACATGCTCAACATATCGCGACATAAACTTGTTATAGAATGTTATAGATGTGTGTTTGTCTTTCTTTGTCTTTCTCCTTTCGGTGCCTTCCCTTTTTTCCAGGTGACGGTGGCCAACATGCAGACCCTGCCGTGCTTCAACTCCGCCTCTCGCACCCAGTAGACCGGGAGCGCGTCGGTGACGCCCAGCGGATCGAAGCCCTTCTCCTCGCCCACCCAGCCCTTCAAGACCTGGAGGGAGGAGAAAGCGAAAGAATTCTGTGAAGAAAGTGTGGTCTCTTCTTTACTACACATTACTAAAACATCTATTTACTTACACATCTATTTACTATTTACTACATGTGTTTAACATATTAATTATCTTTACCAAATCTCTTTTTTTACCAATGGGCTCACGTGAATGTTCGGGTCGTCTTTTCGGTAAGCGGGTTGATCTCAAGGTGTTGATGGGAGGCGGGAGGTGGGAGGTGCATGGCACCTTGTGACTCTTTGTGGAAAAGCACTTCAGCCCCTTTTCATCCTACACTTTAGCATTGTGCCTGCGGATAGCGGAGGAATGGCACCGCTGCTGACATCTCCATCTCCTGAGGCAGAATCATACCCGTGAGAGCTGCTTAGCAGGCCTCTTAGCTTCTCCAACTTCTGAGGCATGCGTTAGCATGCGGTAGTATGTCGCGATATGTCGTGTGCAACGTGCAAAGGTCCAGAAGTGCCCCATGCAGTGCACCTACTTGATGTCAATCTCTGGGGCCGACTGGTCATGGGGATGGTCGACCACCTTTGCCTGTTGACCCGACTGGCCGTCGGTCATTGTTTGAACCCAACAGCTGGAACAACCACGTCCTCTCGCCGAATGTCCGAATGTCATTCCTAGCTTCTTGTGGTTTCTATATGTTTCTATTAGCTTCTTGGTCCTAGTAGTAAGGCCAGGGGCCCCTAGTAGCGTCCTTGCTCCGTTCGTAGCGATGCCCTTTGCTCCTAGTAGCGTCGTCTAGTAGAAGCTTGCAAAATATTAAAATTTGTCATGCCTCTACTGTTGCCATTGGTTTCCAGTGAGACTCACAGCGCTCCTTAGGGTAGGTCTCAGTCTCAATGAAGGGCCCTTCGCTCAGCTTGGCTGAGGCCCTCATCTGGGTGCGCCCAATGCGCCGAGGCAAAGCGCAAACGTTCGCGTTCTGCCTGGGCTGCGAGTCGAAGCGGTTCAGCTCGTGTCGGCGCGCAAGGCGAAGAACACATGAAGAACACGTCCCTCTCAGCCCCTTAAATAGAACCGTCATGCTTCTCCACCTTCGCTGCCACTTCGCCAGAATTCTTCCATCATTGAAAAAGTTGGGCCTCCTGATCAATCTATCAGCCTTTTGGGGCCCCTCTTCGACATCGCTCCAAACGGCCTCTCTCTATATGAGTTTGAAAACCCTCCAATGGCCCAAGGTGCACAACGGAGTCAATGCTGGATTGGCAGTTGTTGATGTGCTGCACATACCACTGAACAGGCTCACCCCACCAGCCATTCTTGGACATGTAGGTCAGAGGTGGCTCGCCAAACATGCCATCCTGACCAGTCCCACGAAAATCGAGACAGGCAGGAAAAAAAATGTATTATAAGGGCGCTTTGAGTAGCATTTGCGCTGCCTCACGACACATTTGATGTAGGACTCCAATCTGCCTATATAACCTCCACCTTGCACTGGAATCTCAGAGACAAACCCCTCCATCTTCGCAAGATTTTGGCACCGAACTATTGCGCCGAACAGCCCAAAGAACCTCAGCACCTCCCACCATCAAGCATCCATCCGAGAAACATCGACCGACAAACCGTGCATCAATTGCAGAATCCATCCAAAATTACGAAACCATACAAAACATTACAAAACCCATCCTTCTCCTATTTGCCCGAAAATACTTTACCCAGAAAGCAATAGAAAGCACCTCTCAACCCCAAACACCTAGAACTTGAACCACACACCCACCGACGCCTGCACCATCAGCCCCATAATGGCGACCATCGCCAGGCGCCCGTTGTTGCGCTCCACCGTCATGCGGCGCTCCAGCTCGGCGTCGTCGATGCCGTCCAAGAGCTCGGTGCCCAGGCCGAAGTCGTTGGGGCCCATGCCACCCGCACGGGGCTTCACCTCGGCTTCCAGCTTCGCTTCGAGCTTCGACGACCGACCTCGTTGACGGTCTCCGTTTCGGTTTCGGAAGAACGACATGAAAAGAAAGGGACACTGGCCCACCACTAGCCAACTATAGGAACAAGAAGCTACTAGCAGCAAAGGACATCGCTATTAGGAACATGTGCATCGCAACGAACGTAGCTGTAGAAGCTACATGAAGCTACTAAGTCACAAGGGCCAAGTGATCCACCGAGGTGCAAGGACCTCGTGAGCGCCCAGGAGGCCCGCCAACTGAATCCAACCTTCGAAGGGCTCATGCTGATTCCGAGGAATTCTTCCGACTTGTGGAAAAATATGCTTCATCATGCGTCATCATCTTTGACCTCGTGTAATTTTCTATTGTTCTTCTGGCGTCTTCAGACTTGATTTATACACCCTTTTCTTCGTGTAGCACCTTCGAAAGGCAATGTCTCCAAAGCGCCGAGGCCGTGCGTGAAGCTTTCGCAGCCGGGGAAGCGGAAGATCTCGGGCATGATGTAGCCTCAGTGAGGACAGAAACCAAATGATGGCACGGATGAGTAGATGGGAAATGATGTGAATATACATTGACTCCGAATGTGCTTGAAGGGTTGGGGCCCGACATGGCCCGACCACTTAGACCTGCCGCTTTGGAACACCTCCCTAAGATGGCTTTGTCACTTAAGAGTTGCATTTTTATGCGTTTTTATCGTCCTTTCGCCCGGTGGCAAGCACGTTTGGCAGCCCGCTAAACCGCCTGCTGTCCTGGGCCAAGCCCAAAACCCGCTCCTTTCAGCCCCCACCGGCCCCTTCCCCCACATTGAGCTCAGCAGCCCACAGTGGCCAACATGGCGACCCGGCCTCACAGCGACGGAAGCCGTTGGAAGAGCTTCCTGAAGGACCAAACCATGTGGGAGGACAGCTTGGTGAAAATGATCAATCATTTCACCAGGCCGGCACAACAAACGGTCAAACAAATCAAGTTTTTGAGGATTGGGGGTGGTCATTCACGGCGATGGCCCTTCTCGCCATGACAACAATTGATCCAACTCCCCAAGATTGCCAAACCCTGCGCAATTTGGTGCGCATGAAACAGCCCACCCCACCCACCAAAACAACAAGAAGACACTCGACGACGGTCGATTCTACTTCAGGGGGCCAATTGAAATCACTCCACATTGAACATTGACCATCGCTACTAGGAGCAAAGGGCATCGCTACTAGCAGCAAGGACGCCACTAGGGGCTCCTGGCCTTGATACTAGCCCTTTGTTCCTAGTAGCATTCTTGCTCCTAGTAGCGATGCCAGGAGCCCCTAGTAACAAGGATGCTACGCGCGGTCGGAGGCCATCGCGAGCGGTTTCCGAGCCACCGTGTTTGATCTCCACCTGCGTGTAGCGGTCCAGCTTGGCATCCGTGTTGCCGAGGTTCAGGGGGTCGAACTTATCGGTCAACCTGGGGAAGTCAGCGTCCAATCTCGACACGGCCCGTGACGCGGCCGGTGATGTATGGAAAGAGCTCCACCCAAAACAGTATGGAACGAGCATGGAACAGGTCAGGCTCAAGTGCACGTGAAAACTATTTTTTAAAAAAATGAGAGTTTGAGCCGACACCTACCTCAGAAAAAGCCACATTGAACTGCAAAAGGTTGTAAAGTACAAAAATCAAATCATCAAAGTATGCAGATTATATCAGATTATGCAGTACAGATTGCTAATATGATCCAGTATGAATTAGAAAAGGACACATCAAAGCAACTCTCTTTGAGCCCAGGCCACGGGAGGCACACGCCCACCACCTGTCTGGCCGTACCAGCTCCCCGGCGGTTGATCACGGGTGCCGCCACAGCCGCCGCCGCCAAGGCGCAGCCGGTCGCCACACCCCAGCTGCTGGTCGCCGGCGCCGGCGAAGCACCCGTGGAGCGCAGGGAAGCTGCGCTGCCCTGGAGGAAACGGCTGAAGTCCGATCGCTCCGTTGGTAGCGATGCCAGGAGCCCCTAGTAGCTTCTTGTTCCTAGTAGTACGGCCAGGAGCCCCTAGTAGCGTCCATGCTCCTAGTAGTCAGAGTCCAAACTAGTGAAGGCAAGTCTCGTTTAAGAAAAGGGTCTTACAAGTTAGTGAGAGCCTGAGAGGTAGTTCCGGCCAAGACCTGTGGCCTTCTCGCCTCAAAAGTTCCCTCCCACCTGCTGAGCCTTTGGGGCCACGAAGGTCAGCAAACTGCCGGCGGAGAGGGCCACAGCCCCTGCGGTTGCCATGCGAGCCATGATCAGCAGGTGGGGGGGCTGATGCAGGTGTCTGAGCTGCTTACAGCTGCGGCGGGGCATTCAATGCGCACGTGATCAAAAGTGTCAAAGTTGCATGGTTTGTTGAAGAAGAATGAAGAAAAACATCAAGCTGCAGTTTCACCATTTGATGCCCGTACTGGGAGATGATAGTCCCGGGGGTTCAAGAAAGCCAGGCATTACGCAGCAAGTCATCTTGGAGTCATTGAGATCACAGCCGAGAGGCCGTGAGGTAAAGAGCAGGAAAAAGAAGTTCGGTAACCCGTAAGATTGGTAACAAACCTGTGGCATGACAAAAGTCTGCAACCTGTGACACTTGCAAACGAGGTCTGTAAGCCTTTTGATCCAAAGGGACCCCATTTCACATGTCTGCCACCCATTAGTTACCCATCAGCGGCATAACTGCAGTTTGGCCACTCTTTCAGGTAACTGAAGCGACGAAAGAGCTTCAAGAGTCCTGGTTTTGGCGTCTGCACACCACTGGGCGGAATGGCTTGACAAGGAGTCACGACGGTGGCAACGGCCGACCGGATGTGACAGGTGCCAGAGAGCTGCCTTGTCACATAAAGAACAAAAATAGATCATTTAATAAACCTGCTAGCAATGGCCTCCAACCTAATAGCAATGGCCTCCAACCTAAGAGCGATGGCCTCCAACCTAGGAGTGATGGTACCACGGCCTGACATCTTCCCCTCCAAGCTCACCAACCAGGTAACCAAACTCGTGACATGGTTGAAGTAGAGCTCGTTGACCATCACGGCATGTGAAAGCATCACACATTTATCACATCCCAGTTCTAAAAAGAAACTGAAGCTAGTAAAGGATGGCAAAGGTCTTTACAAAACGATTGATTTTATTTAACCTCTTTTCCTGTGAAAGGGATGCCCCAAAAACAGCCAAACACCGCTCCGGTGGTCGTCCAACACCTCGTCCCAGTACTTTTCATGCGCGGCTCGGATGATCCGCGCGACGCGGAGCATGCGCAGCAAATTGAAGTTCTCTACGAAGAGGGCACCCATGGTCTCGGAAAGGATCAGCTCGGCCTGGACGCCGAGATCATGTTCAGATTGGAGGTTCAGGGATGCCATGTCGGCTCACAACTGTTTCACTGCCAGGGCTTCTATAAATACAAGTCCCTGAAATACATGTCACCAAAAGAACTCGCAAGTATGTAGCCAGAACTGTTCTCAACGCTCGTTATCCCCTTCAAAAGCTTCTTTAATAAGACCATAAAATCTAGTAGGAATGGCCTCCAACCTAACAGCGAGAGCCTCCAACCTAATGCCAAGGAACAAAGCCGCAAAGGATGATGAAAAGGTCCACCCTTAAGTGGTCCGAATCACAGAACAGGCGAGTCCATCAATCAATGTGCAGCGGCAAACGGGCGTTCTGCTGCCAACGTTCCAACCAATTGCAGTTCTTGTTATGCAGAGTACTTGTGCTCTTCTAGTCCAGGTCCAAAGTAAGTAAGACTTATAAAACTTACCCCACCCTCAAAAACATGTGGCTTCGGGTGCGAAGCTAATTGTCCAGGTCCACTGCATATCAAGCAACAGTCACCAGCATCTCATTTGATTGCACGTTTGTCCAATGCGAGCCGGCAAGAAGTGCTTCCTTGCCAAGTCGCACTAACATCTTGTCTTTGAGGACTTCGAACTTCCGCACATAGCACCACATCAAGTATTCGAAGGTGTACCTTTCACTTCAACAGTTCACGTCAGCTGTGGAGCCACACGTCAGCTGTGCGCTGGGGCTATGCCGCTATGGCTTTGAAAGAGCAAGTGGCATTCTATGCAGAAGACTAGCCTGAAAGGGGCCGCATAGCGGGCCTGAAAGACTAGCCCGATAGGATCCCATCAGGACAACAAGTCATCTGAAACAAGTCATCCCTGTGGACCCATTTAAAATTAAGTTCAATTCTAATAGCGAACCTTGTTACTACTAGTAAGGCACTTGCTCCTAGTAGCGATGCACTTGTTACTAGTAGCTTCAAAGAGTACTGTGGTTTCTTCTAAATGCAAATCACTCCGTCTTTCCACTTTGGCCAAAGGGCGCAGCCAAACATAGATCCTTGGCCATCGGTTGTTCCAGCAGTGGGCTTGAGTCCTATGAAAATTTGACTTAGGATGGATGAGCATGGTCCCCTGAAAATCTGCAGACCACTGATATCATTGCTCGATTGGATGCATACAGCTTTCAAGTCCTTTCACAATCAAATGGCTTTACTATGTTTTACTCAATTCTACTCTTGACTCTTGAATGCGCCGGTCTAGTAAAAACCCAGAGAGCCTCAATCCAAAGCTCTTCTCTGAACCAATGCGGCAGACTTCCAAACCACACAATGTGATTAGTGGGCGAACCCCGGGCAAATCCTTCTGGTGCCAATCGCACGTAATTAGGGATTGGGGGTGGTGCCGTGCCTGGTGACTATCATTGACGGTCGCCGGCGGGAAGCTCGCAACCCCAAAAAAGCACCATCCCCAAAGACGTCGTTCGCTTCGCCCTCCGACCTCGTCCGCCCGAGGCCCGAGGCCCAGCCGACCGGACCGGACCCGGCACCACCCGACACCTCTGCGGCCGCGAGGCCATGGACCAAGCGAGCCAAGGGGGTTCCGACAGATCGGCTGCCCGCCGGTCGATGTCTGCGCAGCTGAGGTAGGCATCGAACCTGGGGAGTTGACCGATGTGCTGGATGTGTTGGATTCTGTTGGATGTGCTGGATGTGAAGATGCTTGAAACATCTTGAAACCCACTGATGTTACTGCAACAAAAAGGCAGAAGTGGCTTGAACAATATGTAGAAATTTAAAGTCATGGGGGCATTTTGGGACTTACCTCGGCTTGCAACTCAAGATGGCAGCCGACGTTTGCAAAATTACGGCAAAAACACAAAACGTCCAAGACTTGCCGAGGCACAGCGTCAGAAGACCAAGGCAGTTGCCAGTGATGGGATGCCAAAGCACCAAGCTCGCCCACTTGCGAAGCCTTGGATCAGCAAGAAATGAGGTGTTTTTCTTTTTTGGTTGTTTATTGGTTTTTGTTCCGCTCAACCCTGCCTCCCACTTAACTTAAGTAGGGGAGTAAGCTCCTAGCTGGACGCTCCTAGTGGACGGGGATAGCTACACGTTCTCCGGCATTGAGAGACTGTGGCGCTGTCAGCTGCAACTTCAGTGGTATCCTCTGCGAACTGAAACCATGCCGCCTCAAATGCCTTGAATTCTGACGGATATGATATG